GGGCAGGTCGCGGCGGGGCCTTCGCGTCGCCGTTGCTGGGGGCAGCCTCTGGGCGGGAGTTGGCGCTGCGGTCGCTGCGTTTCCTTCGTTTCCGCAGCCGGTTTGTATCGGCCAGGTGCGGTGCAGAGAGCGCTTTCCCTTCGGGCGTGCTTCAGCTCGCGGTGTCGGCGTTTTGATGACTATTCGAGCAGCTGATGCCTAAAATCCCCCGCGTTTTGGTGCGTTTTCCTTTGGAAAGGAAGCGGACAGCCGAGACGGTTTGGGCTGGGCTTTGTGTGTCGACCCCTGGACTTGCCCGTGTCGTTTCCATTCTGTGAATCGTGCTGGAGTGGCTCGGTTTGCAGAGTGAAAAATGCCCATTTGGGTCCCGGTAGTTGTCGTGAGCTGCTTGGGTTCCCAGAACTGAAGGTCACATTTAACTGACCTGTCTCCAAAGCCATTCTTGAAATGAGTGATTATAGGGTTCTTCAGGTAGATCCTAGCGGTATTTCATGTAGGTGAAAACTGTTTCTCTCATCAGCAGGTGCTGTCGTCTGGGAGACTATCAGGAGCACCCAAGCTAACAAATGGACGAAAACAGTAAGACCTTCATCACGAGCGCTACCCGAGCGCATGTGCGGGCCCCGTACCTGCCATGCCTCATAACTAGCCAAAAACTTTGCGTGTATTGGCAAGGCCCTTAGCAGAAAGGCCCTATGGCTGGGTAGCACAGGAATAAGCAAGACTCAAATGGAATCTGAGTTCTGCTTGTATAAATACAGAGTTGGCTGTTTATGCTGTGCACTTATTTAGAAAAGATTAAATGTATATACTATCCTAATGCCAGACTGCTGAGTAAAGACAAAATCCTCCTTTGGCAAAAACTGTTAATATCTGCTAAATACACTTGTTGCAGCAGTACAGATGGAGTTTGCAAAAAGGAAAGGGATTTTGTTTCTTGATAGAACACCATTTTTGTTGGGTTTTTTGTTTGTTTGTTTTTGTGTTAGTTAGCTATTACTGAAAGTACCTTTTTTTTTTTTTTTACTTTGCCTGTTAAGAAATATAGTATGAACAATGACATTTTTATTTGTATTTTTTTTCAGGTTAGGCTTAAGAAAAGCCTGTCATTCTGATGTGGAGTCTGGGTCTGGATACTCTTTTTATTCAACTGACTCTGAAGATCAGGTAATTATTGACTCTAATACTGTCCTCTCTCAATGTAGACAGAAAAGAGTATCTTGAATAATAAAAGAAGAATAGGTTATTTCAGGGAGTATCACATTTAGGCTGGAAATAGCTCTTGCAAAGTCAGCTGAAGTGTTTGAATTGCATAATTAAGACACATTTTGGTTGGCTTAGTGCATTTGGCTCTGACAGAGCTTATTACAGGGTCTGTTTTATGAACAAAACTTTGCTGCTTGCAAGGTAGAGCTGGCCCTGGCAGAAGCACAGCTGTAGTTGTGCAGTCTTGTGTCAAAAATAAGTGACACAGGGTTCATGCTGCTGTTTTCATGAAGCATTGAGTCAGTTTATCTCCAAACTAATGATGTCCCACAGATAATAGTTTGGCTGTTCATGCAATAACAATAAAAAAAAAAATGCATGCACAATTACAAAACAAAATCAAACCAACACCAAACCAACATACATGCAACAATACAATTGTTTTTGCAAAAAGTTCAGACTTTCATTACACCGCCAAGTAATATATGGGTAAAATAATATTTTTTGCTCATTACCATAGTTCATTATTTTTTTAGATGACAAAGTGAGAAACAGTCCCTCCTGAAATAATATGTTCTTTTTTACGAAAAGTGATACTTGATTTCTAACTGCAGTATTCTTTATACAGGTTGATACTATTCATAATGGACTTGACCGTTGTGCAACTTTACTGCAGAATATTTTACAAAATGAGACTGCAGGTGGTACCTATAAAAATTTAAGTTATACTTTTAGTTTTCTATAAGACTGTTTTGATTTGTTGACTGGCTTTTTGTTTAAATTATTTTAGTAAGAGAGAATATTCATAAACAACCTGGGAGAACCACTTGTGTTAAGACAGTTTCCAAGCCTTTTATAACCAAAGGAAACACTTCCAAGAAGAAAGGGTTGAAAAAACATAATGTTGCTACACATGTGCGAAAAGAAATCAGTAAGTGGATTTTCATGTCGTTGCTTCTTTTTTACCTCAGCATTAATTTATACTACTTTCTCACCCTGACCACCTCACTTCCCTCCTGCAAGATCCAATCTGGGAGGTATAATGTAGAATTCCTACGGGCAGGAATTGCAGACTAGTATGTAGTAGAATGCTTATTTAGGGAATTACAGAAGAGGGGCATATAGATAATGTATGTCTAGCACTGTAAAAATACAGTGGCTTTGAATTATAATCAGCAGGAGAAATTTAGGTTAGCAGCATGCTGTATCTTGGTTATTGCCAATGACCCTAAAGGACTAGGGAGCAGCTCAGCAGAGGCTTTAAGAATGGTATTTTTAAATTGGTTTTCTATAGGATTAAATCTGCATGTTTCCTTCAAGAACAGCACTCTATCTAGCTTGTGTTAAAAGGGGGAAACCAAAGATGGGTTCATTTCCTGACAGATAAATATCCAATTGTAATATTAGGTGATAGGATTTTTTGTTGTTGTTGTTTTTATTGTTGTTCAAAGAAATATACCCAAAGAATCTCCCTGGTAACACTCTAGGTTTATGTACATCAAGCAGAGGGACAGACTCATCTGTTGTGATTTTTCTTCTTTCAGTAGTGCCAGTATCAAGTATAAAACAGGCCTCATCAACCACCCCTGCTGCAAAGAAATATACCCAAAGAATCTCCCTGGTAACACTCTAGGTTTATGTACATCAAGCAGAGGGACAGACTCATCTGTTGTGATTTTTCTTCTTTCAGTAGTGCCAGTATCAAGTATAAAACAGGCCTCATCAACCACCCCTGCTGCTGGTAAAGAGTTCTGTAATGCACCACAGAATCAGCTGGTTGAACCAATTCATGTGCCTTGCAGTCAACACCTGCCTGTTATGAACCAAAAATTATGTGAGCATGTGCAGACTCAGATGGCTCTGATAACTGGCCAACCCTCACAGGCCAGTAATGAAATTCCTTCTACAACTCCTCATTCGGCCCCAAATCTTGGTTAGTGAAAATACTGCCTTTGAGCTTGCTCTTGTTAATGCAGATTGCCCAGATCTGTGACAACATTCCTTTCTTTCAGGTTGTCAAAATGTTACAGCTCTTAATTATCAGTTATCGGCCTCTACACCAGCCCTGTCCCTGCAGCATTCATCTAATACTTTATCTTCTCAGTCTGTAAGTAAAAGCTTGATTCAGATTATTAATAAATTTTACATTTAACACTTCCTCATTAGTTATGTTTAAATATGTAGACCCTTTTTTTTCTCAAGGAAGAAAAAATGCATCTCTCCATCTATAGGAATGGATGGAATAGATAACGGCGGAAAATACTGCGATATAAAATATGTTTTACGTGGAGATGAAGAAATGACATTGGGGCATTTCTTTGGCTGTGTTTTGTTTTATTTTTTTCTATACTGTGCATTTTGTACTGGGCAGCAGCCATAGCAGGTGCAGAAAGTTACTCACTACTGTTAGTAGTTACATTCTCAACAATGCGTACTGGGATCATTAACCAACTCCTGACTAAAGCGATCATATTCTTCAGGTAGTTGTAAGATTTTCCCTGCCAGCAATCAAGTTTTTACAGATAATTTGTAGCATCTTAGAGCCACTTTTTTAAAATACTTATGTATTTCAGGGTATAAAATAAAACTAAGGGAGAGCACCAACTGCCACCTTGGCAGTGTGGTAAAGGGCTTTCACCTTGAGGCTGTAGACTTACCTTCTATCTGCAGGCAGTCCATGTATAGTTAGCACTTTCCTTCACTTTTAAGAAAATTATCTACTTAAATTAATGAAAGGTAACAGTGTTTTATTGTTGTTCTTGGTGTTTTTTTTTTTTTTCCTCCTTCCCTGTTCTGGTTTAATTCAATGAATGAATACTTATAACTATGCTTTAATTTTGCCAATAACTTTTAAGGTAAAGATAATCAAAACTAGATTTACATTTGAATTAGTAAATCAGGAAATAATATGAATTAGCCAGAAAGAATTCTAGGTTATTTATATGTATATGTGTCTATGTATGGAAAGAGAGTAAAGAATGTCCCAGACTATACTGAATGACACTTAAGGAAACCTGTTAATCTTTTGCTTAATGTCAATATTGTTCATCTAGGATGTTCCTGCAGATAGTAGCCCTGAATGTGTGCCCCAGATGGGAGGAACTGTGCTTTGCCCAGTAGTTTCTGTTCCTGCTACCACTACTGCACAAATTCAGGCTGTCACTGCTCTTCCTGATAAGATGCCTAGCCTTGTATCAGGTGCATCAAGTAACTCCACAGTGCCTGCATTTGTCTCATCGTTTTCTGGCAAAGACGCTACCCCAAACCAAGAGCACTGGATCAAGGAAGCAGATTTGATAAGATGCATACAAGCTCACCTGGCCTTGTTGCAACCACATGAAATGAACAGCAGGACAGAACAAAAGCATCCTCATCAATGTCCAGCACAACATAATGTCTCAAGTAATAAGGAAGAGGATATTTCCGAAGAACAAAGCGAGGACGCTATCAGTGAAGAAGAAGAACTGAATGTACTTGACGTTGCCCCCATGAGAGATACAAGCTGTCAGAAAAGTTTTGTCAAGAAGGTTCTAAAACCTAAAAGAGAAAGTCCAGAAGAAACAGCCCATAAAGTTAGAACAGTAAAATATCTTTTGGGGGAGCTGAGAGCACTGGTAGCAGACCAAGGTAAAGACATTTTCATTGTGCAGTAGAGTGACTACCTACAAATAAGAGAAATTATGGGAAAGGAAGGAGCAGTCTTCAATTTCTGGAAGTTGTATGTGTCAGATATGTGACATCTTATCGGGGCTTTCAACAACTTTGTTTTTAAGAGTTTCATTTTTCAGTGCGAATAAGGATTAAATGATTATAACCACTAGAACAAAGATTGTTCTTGTTTCATGCACAATGCTGTCCCTGCAAGTTGATCAAGAAGCAGGTTAGGCAGATTTCCACAGCCAAGTTTGACTGGCATGCTGATCAGTGATGATTTATCAAGCACACAGTCAAGCTTTTAAGTTTTGAATAAGTAAAGATAGGCTGTCAAAATCAAGACATTTTTTGCTTTAAAGCATTTTGTAAGTTGCTGTCATGTGTACACTTTTTCTGTTTTTGTTCTCTTGCAGATGATTCAGAAATGTTAAGGTTGATGAGTGAAATAGAAGATTGTATATCATTGCTCCCAGCTGTAGTGGGAAGTACAAATATACAAGCTGAAATAGCACTAGCTCTACAGCCTCTTAGAAGTGAAAATGCCCAGCTGCGTAGGTTAGTAACTTTTCAATAATTCTGTATCTTACTCCAAAAACACCTAAAATATCTTTCACTGAAGTGCTCTAAACTGCATGTTCTCATATATGTTGTAAGCTTTGTCATTTTGTTCTTCTTCGTGCAGTATTTGTAGATTGCCAACTGTGTTGGTATGGCTATATAGCTTCAAAAACACTTATGCAAGAACTGAAACGAGGTTTCAATTAATTTTAGTAGCATCATTTTTGTCAAATAGTGGTCATAAATGAGAAGGGGCCAGTCATAAGGCTGATGCAATACTTGCATAAGTCTGGTTGTGTTCCCCCTGTCAGACAGCAGCAACACTTACTATTTTACAAAAGTTTTCCAAGTTTAATGCTTTCTTGTAAAGTGTTCTGAGAGCCTGTTTAGAATACTTTTCCATCTCTTCCATGATTGTGCCTTTTTCCAAGTGAGATGTTCTGGCTGAAAAGTGTTTCTGGCTCAGTATTAAGATAGTCAGTCTACTTATAGTCTTTCTTTATTATTAAATGTAAAAATGGAGCTCATTTCGGGAGATCTCTCAAATATATAGCTGGTAGCACTTCAGGAGGGTCTGTCCTATTGAAGAAAGACAGGAATGCAGGAAAATGTCTTATTAAAACTTTTTAGTACTTCTATATGTATTTAACTTTTTGTCTTTCTAAAATATTTCTAACTTATATTTCTCAAACTTCCATGTGTTTCTAAAGTTTCTATATTTCTAGAACATTTTTGTTTCTAAAATAAACAGATGCTTTTTCCAAATTAATACACAGTGTGGTGGGTTTGAATGTACTCTGAACTCTCTGAATATGGGCTTTTTTCATAATTCAAATTTAGGAGAATAAGAATATTAAACCAGCAACTCAGGGAACGAGAGAGAAATGAGAAGACATCTGGACAGAACTTCAACTATGAATGTAAAGTACTAACAGAGGTTGCTTGTTAGGAGCATTTTGTGCTAAGGTTCAAATACAAATATATAAAGATATAGATGTATATGTATATTAGATATTTAAATAATAAGTGTGTATTCACACTGTCACTGTTTTTGTGACAACTGAAGTAAGTGATATGGGTCTGATCATGCACTTGTATCTATAGCCATGGACGTTTTGCCTGTTTAAAACTTCAGAGACACTGAAAATCAGTTGTTAAATCGCAGAGCAGATTAATTTTATCCCTCTTAAAATGCTTATATTCCTCTTAAAATGAGGATGCTGGGCTAGATATCTAAAAAGGAAGCTTATTTTATATTTATCTTAAAACAAAACTTTTTATCTCTAAGCCAAAGTCCTATTATCAAGTTTACTTAAAAACTTAAATCAATGTAGAAATCCTAAAATTGTAGACAAAACACCTAAACTTTCTTTGTTTTTCTCCTGGTAGTAGTTTCTCTGCAGTCAATGAATATGATGCTCCAGAGTCAACTGAAAGAATCACTAAAAGGTCTTGAGTCACTGCAAGCTAAAAATGAAGAGCTTTTTAAAATAATAGAAAAGCAGAAGGAAGAAAATAAACATGTTGCAAAAAGTATCCAAGAGAAAGATATAGAATTGCTTGAAAACAAGCAGCAATATGATATTCATACCACCAAGCTCAGGATTGGTATGTTTTTTGACTGTAGTTATTCTTCATTTGATATTTTTAAACTTAATAGAAATTAACTAAATTCTGCTTGGCATTTTAGAAGTGGAAGACACGCTAGCAAATGTGAAGAGCCTTCAGTTTAAGCTGGAAGCTTCAGAGAAAGAAAATCAGATTTTGGGCATAACGCTTCGTCAGCGTGATGCAGAAGTTAACAGACTGCGTGAGTTAACCAGGTACTGCTGACTAAGCTATTTTTTTGCCTCTTGTTGCCACTTTTTTTAAACAAAAATCTACTTTGGATTACTGCAATCTTAATACTGCACCAGCATCACGTAGGCCAAAACCTCTCTGTATTTTTGTTTTGCTAGTACTTTAATAGAGGTTCGGTACTCCAGATAGCAAAAGACTTTGTAAAGGAACTCTACCTGGTGTAATTTATGCCAAGTTTTAGCTCACATAGCAGACGTGCCAGTAAAGAGCTCCATTAGAAGTGGATGGATCTGGAAACAGATATGTGTAGCATACGAAGACTAACTCCTAACCTTAATTAATTTCCTTATATTGGCTTTAGAAACCCCTACCTATGAAAAGAGCTTGCAGAGCAGTCTTCCTTCAGGACCCCCGGAGAGCTCTTCCTACAGGACTGAGCAGTTCAGTCCTTGGCAGCAAATAACACCAATATATTATTTACAGGTGTAGGTGGGAGCTCTTGGGCCACTGAATTAAGGTAGCATTACTCACAAATCTTGCAGAACTACTCTATATTGTCTCCTATGTTTATGATGAAAGTTGGGAAGCTTATGGGGCCCTTTGGATATGTGCATAAAATTTGTACGTTACAAGTGCAAGACGTTGAATAATTTTCTGTTCTGTTGTTTATAGTTAATACTGATTTTGACACGTCATTTCTCAAAAGTTTATACTCGCTACATTCTTCTGTGACTAATAAATATTGACCACTAGATGGTAGTATAATATCTTATAACATGTGTATTTGTATATGCTGTATACATAAGCATTGAACATTCATTTTTTTGCTACAGAAAGTAAAAATACCATTGAAATTATTCTTTTATTAAATTTCTTTTTTTAATGTTTTTCTTAGATATAGTAGGAAAAATGATTTGGAAAAGTTTTCTGTAGGCTTTGTATTTGACATCTTCTTACAAATTATTTTATTTGGTAGTACTCAAAGCAGGTCAGTCCTGAATAATTTCAAAAACTTTGTGTTGTGCTCTTCTATAGGCACTTCACTTTTACGTTAGTATTTTGTGCCATTGTACTCGCTCGCGTGTACTGTGACTTCACGAACTTCACTGCAGTCTAAATCTGGTCTGGATTTCTATAAATGTTTTGAAAGATAATTGCTAAATAATCTAAGTTGATGAATTGATCTTAACAGAACCTTGCAGGGCAGCATGGCCAAGCTTCTGTCTGACCTCACAGTGGACAATATCCGACCTAAGCCTGACAAAGGTCTCTCGAGATCTCTTTTGGAAGACTATGAGAAACAGATGCAGTCTGATCCATTTCCTGTGAGTACTTCAGTAATGACTTACCTTAAAAAATTAGACACTGATCATATTTTGACAGATACAGAACCTCAGTTCTCAAACAAAAGCAGGGAATTGGAGGAGTCAAATCTAGCCTATGTAAAACATGCTGCTGAAGGAACCAAAAGAAACAGTACCTTCTCAGAAGAAGAAACTGGGACTCCAAGAATTCTATCAGCCTTAGTGGAGCAAGACAGAGAAACACTGAGTGATTCTGAGACTTTACTAGACAGCCAAAACAAACTGGATGAGACTATTTATATTCCATTAACTAGCAGTGCCTCTAAAAAACATCTGCCAGTCTCTGAGAGAACTGGCATGCAACCCCAAAGCAGAGGGGCTTGTAAGACATTGGAATTCAACTATGAACTCTCAAACTCTGAGCAGCAGAATGGATGTGAGGTGTCAAAAGACCTCTCTGTTTTGAATAAATTAAATGCTGGATACAGTTTGAAAAGAGCCATAGAAAAATCACTTGAAGCTACAGGGGATACAGCGAAGCTGGAAGGGGACAAGGTCCAAACAAGGTCAGAAGACATTCCAAGCAGAGCTGCAAAAGACTTTACAGACAAACCAGACCAGCCTCAGCTTGGTACATACCATTGTGCTCCAGTGCCCTTTCCCAAAGAGAATTCTAGGAAAAGAGGCGGCGCAATATCTGATGTTTCATTTGACGATATATCGGGAAGGTCTGAATGGAGCGCATCCTCTTTCTCAACCTTTACTTCTCGAGATGAAGAGGACTTTAAGAATGGCTTAGCAGCCTTGGATGCCAACATAGCTAGGTTGCAAAGAACTCTGCAAAATAGCATTATGAAACAATAAGTATGAAAAAACAAAAGGGTGTGTACTTGTTTAGGTAACTATTTTTTTCTAAAGTATATTACATGTGGTGCTAATTTTAATATTTGTATTTTTGTATGAAATAGCTAGTTCTTAGCTGTTGAAATTATGAATGGAATTTGTTCCTCATTTAAGTTGTGGTGCTGCTTCCCTAGATGTGTACAAATTCAAATAACTGGTTAAAATGCCTTTATCTAAATTAATGAGTTACCTTTATACTCTAATTATAAAATTATTTCTTAGCACAGCATTTGATAACTTTTTAAGAAACTAATGTGCTGTTGGTGATTCAGTTTTTATATTAAATGATGCGTATTCTTACTTGTTCTGTGTGCTTTTCAAAGTAGTAAGAGCAGCATTAAGATGCATTTGATGTTAGTTACAGATATGGTAAAGTATAGAGAAGCTTTTATTTTGTTATCTGGCTTGTATAAAACTGGTTGAATGGTTATTTCCATTCTTTTTGACCAAGAATGTGTTCAGACATTAGTCTGAACCCCCCCCATCCTTGCTGGGGCTCATCATGAAAATGCCCAAACAATACTGCCAGCTTCAAAGAAATGGGTGAGCAGGACTCACTGAGCAGCAGTGCTGCTTGATCCAAGTTGGGCTTAATCAAGAAGTGGGAATTTAAGTGTTAAAAGTAGAGCTGGATAGAATTTAAACAGTCCCATGCCTTGAATTCAATGTTCTTAAGAGGAATTTAGGTGCAGAAGACTTAATTGAACTTTTTTTTTCCTTTTGTAAAGAGCAGTTGCAAAATACCATGCATAAGGAGGAGGTTCCATAGACCAAGGCCTGGGAAGAGCAAGCTGCGAGGGGCAGCTCTACAGGAAGGCTGAGAGCTGTAATAGGGCTTTGGATGAGCTCAAGTCAATGTCAGGCTGTTAACAACAAATGTGGCCTTCATCATGGAATTTGCAGAGCCTGGTAGATCTTGTAAATCATGGCAAGTAATCGTTTGCTGCTTAACATTGGTGTAATCATTTTCTACTTATTATTGGTAAGACTCATTTTTCTGTCCTGAACACTTGCAGAAAGAAGTTGATTTAAATGTAAAGCTCAGGTAAGGAACTACCAGAATTGTTTTGTTCTGCAGTTTTGTTTTAGGTCATAGATTTTACAGATACTTAGTTTTCTCTAAAGTAGAAGAGAATACAATAACTGCAGTGAATGTGACACAGTGTGATGTTGAGGAAACGAGCAATTAACAGGCTTCAGCTGACACAAAGGATATAGATTAGATATTAAAAATTGACAATGCAGTACAGTTAGTAAAGCTCTAGTATAGACAAGACATGACACTTTGAAAATGTATTTCTGAAAGAGATTACCAGTATAAGAATCTAAGATGGTGGTTCTTGTAAAGTTATTCTTTTTTCTTCTCCCACCTCAGAACAAAAATACAACAACAGCAAAAGTACTTTCTGGTGTAGAACTTTTCCCTTAATGTATTTCCTTGTAGATCAGAGGTGTTAAGTCTTACCAGTTTTTGAAGATCTTTACTTGAAGGAGCCAATTTTGAAGTTAGGGCACTGTCCACATGCTGTGCAGTGCAGCAGTTCTGTGATTATTTTAGTTATTGGTAAGTGAGCAGTGAAATGCTATGAAGGCAACATAGGCTCCAGGAGCTGCCAACTGGCACTCCTACTGTCAGAAAGAGAAGTTAGACTAAATAGTGACTTCAGTGATCCAGAATGCTTTTAATGCTTGGCCTGGGTTTCATACTATTCTTCACACAATGCTTGCTCAGGCTTCAAAGTAAGGTTGACGGTATTAATGTAAATACTTCTTAATTAAGTATTTACAAGCAAAGCAGAACTTAAACTGTGCCTATGACATGGGTTAAAGCACAGCCACAACTAGTTGTGGCCTTTCACACTGTTAAAAGGAAAATATGACAAATACCTACACAAAGAATAAGAGGGTTGGTGAAAAAGAGATCGTCTTCAAAAAACTACTGCAGAAATAGTCATTAGTAGACAGACTAATTGAGTTTTCTTTCAGTTAGTACCATTATTCTACTTGAATATCCAAGCGGGATGTTTAATCCCACAAAACTACTTGCAAACTGCCTATAGCAGCTCTGGTGTCAAGATAACCACGTGCATTATTCTCACACTGAGAGCATTTTCTTTTAAGGCTGTGTCAATTGGGAAGATGTTACACCATTTTACTTGTATCTTACTTGATGTTACAAAGTCATTTCTAAGCATGAGATTACTACACTACCGTTTCCGAATCGCAAGAGATGTGTGCAGGTTTTCTTATCCCCTTTAGGAAAAGGAAAAGCTAAAAAGCAAGAAGGAAGAGTTGTTTTTAATACAGTTGTTTGACCTATGTAAGTACAAATTGGAGCTATGGCAACTTTAAATGAATAACAAAATATTTGTGGATGCAGTTCTAGTTTTAATCACACATAGCTGGCCATACACTCAAACAACTATTCAGCAGAGCTTTCCAGCCTGGCCAGCACAGTTAGTTACATGCTCTCTCCATCCATATTTTAACCTCCAAGCATAAGGTGTATATGATAATTGTACAGTCAATATTAAATTGCTATTCTCAGTAGTGTTCAGTAATTGCTGTTATGAAATACTGTTCCTTTTCCAAGGAGTAGCTTACATGGAGCAGCTTAGCTGCTGCAGTTTTAGTGATCATGTAGCCTCCTCTGCTTGATTTGTTGTTTTCTCTTGAAGCCAGGAAGAATGAAGATACAGGTGTGTGTGGCACTTTCTGGAGTTGCCATCTGCACTTCCAAAGCTAGGAAAGCCCTCTGAGCACAGCTTTTATTAGACTGTTAATAATCATTTTCCTTTTATGGTCCTTTTTACTTATGAACTGGTGCCAGGGTTGGGTAATATTCCGGAATCTAGGATTCACCCCTACATCATTCCCTGCTCTGGAGTCCTTGGGCAATGACTATCTATAATGCAGGGTCTTATTCAAAAAGGTGGGGAATGATAGCTCCTTCCCCGTGCAAAGAAGAACTTGGGCCTTACTGTGCTGTCCAGAGGGTTTCAATGTCTTCTAGGGAACAAAAATCCCTGAGTTGCTGGAGCAGAGCAAATGCCACAAGCTACCTGGGACAGGAGCTGTGGTAAAGCCACAGATGCCCAGAGCTCTGTATGTGCAGGGAGCTTAACACGTCAGGGTGCATTTTGTCAAGTTGCGCTGATTGCTACTACCCTCTCAGCTGCCTTTGTTAAACTCTGAGTTTACCTAGGCATCCTGAATCCGCATGGGTTTGTTTCTTTCTGAGAAAGGTAGAAAGATATTTCTTGTGTTTGAGTCTGACTAACCTGGATGAAGGGAAAAAAAAATGATAGACATAGTCACTTCAGCAATCTCCCCAGATAAGAGAGAGGAATAATGAAGTTTGAATCGTCCTACTGATACCGAGATACCTTGCTGAGCACTCTCACTCTAGTCCAACAGTCACAATAGCTGCTGGCTAATGCCAGAAGCATTTTCACTCGGCCTCGGAGCTGCTCCATGGTAATTCTCGAAGGTGGTACTGAGCCGGTCAGTGCAGTTCTGCATACCACTGCACTGCAACCAGACTGTGCAAAAACCGTTAAGAATCAGCTCTGGCATGTCGAAGTGAGTCCTGTAGAAACTTCAGTCCCAACCCAGCTTTGGCTCTTACTAGCCTAGGTAGGTCAAGCTGCCCCATTAGGGATCTGCTTCCAATTAAGCTCAGGCAGGCCCTCTCACGTTGTTCTTGAGCAACTCTAATGTCCGGGAGAGTCATGTCTGCCCTTCCCCAAGGTCACTGTAGTCTTTCAGTAATTTCATTGCACAATGCAGTTCCAGAGTCATACTTTCCTTAGGACAGATTGGGGGATTCTAGTAGTTTCTGGTAACAGGGACAGGTCACAGATTTTTTTCCTGCAAATAGAGAGGCAGAGTCAAAGACCAGGAGTTGCTGAGCCTAGTTCTTCAGACTGTCTGCTTCTAAGGTCCAAGAGCACCAATATCTTGCAATAGGGATTTGAGCTGTAGATAAGAGTACCAAATAGGTGCGTTAACACCTTAGCCCCTGTTCGGTCTTTCTGAAGAAAATATTAAAAAATAAATAAAAGTGCATGCTTGTGCACACATACAGAGAATAATGGAGAAGAATAATTTCTTAAATTAAAAAAAAAAAAAAAGCTTAGAGACTAAAAACTATGAAAACAGAGTCTGTTTCTTTAATCTCTAAATCTTTACTAATTCACTCTCTCTGAAACTTCACTGTAGCTCTTTTCATGTGTTACTGTGGTATAGACATGGTGAAGATACTTCTTTCTAGATAGTCCCTGCCTTCAATTATTGGCAATTCTCTATTACAGCTACCACGAATCTTCAGGAAGGCTCTCAGTAAACTGTGGTGCAGCTGTGAGAACAGCATTCCTCGGATTATGGTTTTGCAGATACGCGTTAGTCAATCCACATAGTCGTCATGCCCTGTTTTCCTTTCCAAAGTTTGACAGAAGCACCACAATTACATGATCTGAAATTACATGATACTGAAAGCGGTGCCGCCTCTAAACGTTAAGATCTTCAGAGATACTGCATTTATACTTCAATGCATCTCTGCTGAATAATTTCATTTGCTATTTGAGGATCAATACCAAGCCGCACTGAAAGCTAAATGCCTTTGCATTTAGAGATGTGTCCTCTTTATGAGGACACAGAACAAAGTGGAGAGCACATTATCCCATAGGTTCTTCAGTCATAATCTTAAGTATTTATCCTAGTCGTGTATGAGGCCTCGGTCTTAGTGTAAAGCCATATAACAACCTCCAGTCATAAGGTGGCACCAGTAGTAGGACAAGTTCATGAGCAATGAGGCATGCTGAAGATTTCCTTTTTGCACTTGTGCAAAACGTCCATTCTTATCCTTTCTACACTGTGCTCCAAAGACAAATGTAAAAATTGTTACTTAACTGACTGGAAAAAGAGCTGCTTAAGCTAGCTAGAGTATAGCAGCCATCTGTGCCACAGTTAGCAGTGTGTGGTTTATAGGCCCATAAGGCATTCGTGTGTCAA